GAGAGAGGGAGGGAGGGAGGGAGGGAGAGAGAGAGAGAGAGAGAGAAAGTAGGTGCCTAAAGAGACCAAAGAGGAAGTCAGATCCCCTAGACCTGGATTTGCAGGCAGCTGTGACTTGCCTCTCCTGTGTGTTGGGAACCAAAGTGGTGCTGAGCTCTTTCTAGCTCCTCACTTTGAAATTTGACCAGGGAAGGATGGAGGTCTAATTTTGACCTTTAGCAGCAGCAACTGGTGGCTGTGTTCTGGCACACTTGATGGCTGATAAGATGAGGCCTGCTTATCAGTTTTTCAGAATAGCCTTAGCACAGGTTAGTATTTTTTATTTTCCAAAATGGGAAAATTCTAAATATCGTTCCCAAACTCTTAGAGCAGTGATGCTCCTCTACTGCCCTCTCAAGGTTCTCAATGCTTTTCTCCAGACAAAATTACAAAGAAGTCAAATAGAATCAAAACCACACCTAAGCTGTTCATATTGCAAACTATTGCTGGTCTTCATTATTAAACAGAACACAGTACTATCACCTTCCATACTTGCTGCATGTAGTGGCTTCCCAATCATTGGAGGAGGGGAGCTGGAAATGACTATGGTTAAGAATGCTGGCTGTTCTTCCAGAGGGCCTGAGTTTGTTTCCCAGCACCTATATTGTCACACAATCACCTGTAACTCTAGCTCCAAGGGATTCAATGCCTTCTTCTGGCTTCTGCAATACACTCACACGTACAAACACACAATTTAAAAAAGAACCACAGTATAAATTACAAGCAACATTATGTTTATTGTTTGCCATCAGTCTATTTGAATTTCTGAGATGTAAGAACTTACTAGATACTGAGAAGTATCTATTTTCTGATAGTATAAAACTCCATGTTTCCTCATTGGGAAAAGGGGAAACAGCTCATTTGCAGGGTTGCTGTGAGAATTCAAGTGAGGTAAGGAACAGCCTACCACACCTGTAATCCCAGTACTTGGAATCGGAGGCAGGAGGATCAGGAATTTAAGGCCAGTCTCAACTCAGAATGAGTTTGGAGTTTAAACCCAGTCTAGTCTAGGCTTTATGAGACTGTTTCAAAACCAAACAAATAAAAAAAGGGGTAGCCTGGGAAACGGGCACATTTCTGAGAATGTTCTTATTGGAGGCCAGAAATTGGCTCCTTTATTTTTTTGTGATGGTAGAAACTGAACCCAAGGCCCCTCCCTGCATTAAGACAAGTGAACCTCCACTGAGCCCTTTTCCTGCTTTAAAACAGGATCTCACTGAATTGTCCAGGCTGAGGTTGAACTTACTTTCAAGCCTAGGCAGGCCTTGAACTCCAATCTCTGCCTCCATCCTGAATAGCTAGGCTAGTTAAAATTTTGCCCCCCCCTCCCACCATTTACATGATTTTTGTCATACTCCCAGAACTGTATCTGTTTACATTATAATTTTGAAGTCAATTCACTGAGATTTCATTATTTGTATTTTTGAGCCAATATAAAATTGTATTGATTTAAGAGGTAGAGTGATGTTTTGATGTAGGTATGTATTGCATAGTGAACAAATTAGGGCAAATCACACTTTCATCACCTTGAACACTTAATACTTTTTGAATTTGTTAGAGGCAGGATGGGGGGAGCACCGAGCTTGAGGACCTGAATTTAAACGCCAATCCCACTTGGTGAATGAAGAGTTGACAAGTTAACATGATCGTTACATCCACGCTGTGTCATGCACACACACACACACACACACACACACACACACACACACTAACCGTAAAAAAAAGTGAGCTGGGGATATAATAGAGCATTTGCCTAACATGTATAAGGTTCTGGGTTCAACCTCTAGTATTTTACACACACACACACCCCACCTCTTTCCTTATGGGATGTTAAAAATGTTTTTCAGACAATTTAGTTATGTTGGAGTGCTATCACAATGTACTGCAAAGGGACCTCAAACAGTCACTATTTCAAAGGTGTTTTTAGAGGAGACATTTTAGAGGAAAAGGGTAGAACAATCCAGGCTGGGCTAACTGAAGGAAGGTGGGTGCTGCTCAGAGTACTCGCCAAGTACTGTTTGATGAGGGCTAGTCCACAGCCTGACTTCTATCCATCAAGACATGGATACACTTCATCAAGGATGCTAATTTCCATCCCAAGAGGGTAATGAATTAAATCAAATAAAAAATGCTTGTTTGGTTCATCTGTAAATTTTTCTTTCACAGAGGTGGCAAGAGAACAAGCCAGAAAGAGGCTTTTTGCTATATTTTAAGCCTTGAATTTTGAATGTGGTACAGATGGTCCCTTCTGGCAAATAACAAAGAGCTGAGCTAATTAAGGCATTAAGGCTCTGGAGGAATCTCTAAGTACGGATATATTTTGTCATGTAGGAAAACTAAGGAAGCATTACTTACCTGATACTGGATCTGAGGGAGTATGCTAGGTCTTTTTGGAAATTATTATGGCATTTCCAGCAACCTTCAGATGAATTCAGGTTTCCCTAAGTTCTTCACTGTACTGGCCTCCCAACATGCTAAGAAAGCATTCTGCGTCTGAGCTACCCCCTCCCCAAGTCTTTGGTTTCTCTATTCTGTTACATAGCTCAGGCACTGTTTGATGGGGGCTAGTGCCCAGTCTTGGTGTAACTGTCACCACTACCAGTGCCCAATCAGGCATTGTCCGGGCACTTGAGTTCAATTAACATCAGCACTCTTCACCACACATTAATCAGAGAAAAACTCTGGAAGGCCTAGAAGCATCACCAGCACTCTGGACTCACAAAAGGCAGTGGTTGAAATGGAGTTTGGAAAGGAAATGGGTTCAGAACAGAAACCAGCCCTTCTGGTCCGACAAAGCAAGGATGAAGGGAACAGCCCCTGACCCCGCTCTTTGGAAAGAGCAGAAAGCCCCTGGGTGTGGGTCTCCTTTATCAGTAGAAGTGGGGACCTCACCTGTCATCCCTTCAGCTTTTCAATTTTTTGCTAGTTCTTGGAGTTTACCCTTGTACTAGAACCTGGCAGGTCACTGAGGACAGTGGCTTTAAGGCAAGTGTACCCCTGAAAGCTGGCATAGGCTTTTCACCCAGCTTCCTGAGGATTAAATGGACAGACATTAATATTCTTCACCAGACGCCTGTCTTTTGAGGTTAGAAGGCAGCTGTGGTATTCCAGGTGCATGCTCAATTCTTCACGACGGACCGTTGTCCAGGATAGCCACTGCTTCTTAATACACAGCAACTATCTCCCCTTAGTGTCACCTCCACTTTTGTGTTTTGTTGTCTTCTAACAGCTATAATATAAGCTTCTGGCTTTTGCCTTATTCACTGTGACTATCTTTCTACCAGAACCAACCAATACTATGGACCACATTTTCCTTAAACTTTTTCATCCTTGTTCCTGGTGCTGGGGGAAATGAACCCAGGGCCTTGTTTGTGCTTCCTAGGCACTCTGCCACTAAGCTGTCAACCCTAGGACCATCTTTTTTTTTTATCTAGTAATATGTAGATTTAGCAAATGCAGTAGGGATCTCAATTGTGCTTAATACTTGTACTTTTGCCTTTCCTCGATTGAACCTACTAGGGCCACACACTTGTTAGGTAAGCACTTACTAAGCTCTAACCCCAGCCCTCATTTTAGACTATGGGTCTCAAGTTGCCCAGGCTGATCTTGAACTCACTCTGCAGTGTAGGAAGGTCTTAATCTTGGGATCCTCTTGCCTCAGCCCCTCACACTGTGGACCTACAGACCTGTATCACCAGACTTGACTGGATTTTCATTTTTGAGGCAGGATTTCATGCAGCCCAGTTACAAATGGTTGTTAGCTGCCACATGGGTGCTGGGAATCAAACTCAGGTCCTTTGCAAGAGCAGCTAGTGGTCTTAACTGCTGAGCCATCTCTCCAGGCCCAGATTTTTTTTTTAAAAGCAGCTGGCAAGATGGCTCAGTGGGTAAAGGTGCTTGCTGCCAAGCCTAATGACCTGATTTAGATTCCTGGGACCCACAGGTGAAAGGAAAGAACCAACTCCTGCAAGCTGTTCATTGTGGTGCATGCACAAATTATATAGTCAGTTGAGATCAATTCAAGAAAACATACAATTTGAGGAAATTCAGGCATGAAATGTGGTGACAGTGTATATCTGAGAACTACAAACAGACCACCTACTCCATCTGATTTCTAGGTAGGGAGGGGCAGAAGGTGAGAGGGGGTTGGGACTACCCACCTTACATACTATCTGCTGTGTTCTCTGCTGTCAACCTACTTCGTAAACTTGATTAGAAGGGGACTCTGCTGGGGCTGAAGAGATGGCTCAGTGGTTAAGAACACTGATTATTCTTGCAGAAGACCTGGGTTCGAATGCCAGCACCCACATGGGAGCTAACAACTGTCTGTAACTCCGGTCCCAGGGGATCTGACAGCCTCTTCAGACCTCCGTGGGCATTGCACGACCCGGGTGCACTTACCTACGTGCAGGCAATATGTGCATACACATAAAATAAAATTTAAAAAGTTAAAAAAAAGGGGGTGGGGGACTCTGCTTAAGAAAATGAAACACAGGAGCTCAAGAGATGGCTCAGTGGTTAAAAGCACTAGCTGATCTTGCAGAGGACTCAAGTTCCATTCCCAGCACCCACACGGCAGCTAACAACCATCCATAACTCTAGTTCCAGGGGAATCCAATGCCCTCTTCTGACTTCCACAGGTATTGCATGACGTGGATGCACTTAGAAACGTATGCAATACACTCATACACATAAAAAAAGAAATAGGGTTAGGTTTTGGCTACTATGCATTTGTATCTAAAGGAGAGAGAGCAAATGAATCATATGAAAGATGAGGAGAGACCAAATTGTTGATGCAACAATACTTCTAGGTAGAATGGGGCCGGGCTAATTGAGACATTTAGCCAACTCCTTAAACCTTCATACTGCCTTACTGGTAGCTTCAAATGGATATCCCTTCATGACTACAAAGTGTTTACCAGGCCACAAATATGTACACCCCTCATTTATTATGACACCAGTTGCATCAAGAATGTTTATTTACTTATGGATACTTACTGAAGTCAAGCTACAACTTGAGTTATGATAAAGGTGTCTCTCATTACAGAGTATCCAATTACCATTAAGACAGTTTACTTCAAATTTACAGCATTAAAAAAATACTCAAAATTGAGTTATGCTATGTTTCTAACACTGTGTATTCTGTTACAAAATTTCCAAAAAACGTGGAGTCAGTCTTCTCCCACCAGGAAGTCTGCATTCATAAACGGTGTATCATTACTTACTGACATGCAAGGCCACTAAACGTGGTATAAAGGAAAAAGCCCATGAATTTTCATCTTGCATAGACAGAACGAGGTATTCCAAGTACTTCTCCAGACAACTTAAAAGAACTGTTGGTTCCTGGAACAGCTTATAGTTAGTCCTGGACCTGGGCTTCAGGATCACATGACATCAGCAGCCTTGAGCGCCAACCTTCCTTACTAACTTGATTCAATTCCAATTCTTCCTTTTGCTTTTCTGTCAAAAAAGATGTAGTTGGTCTGCACTTGATCCACATGCACTAATCCGAGTACTTCTCAGGGCTCTCCAACCCTTGCTGTAGGACTATCACTAGTGCTCGACTGGGAGGTACTCATTCTCACAGGTGCCTAGCACAGTGCATGCGCTAGGTCCTTTTCTGCAAGTGTGGCAGTAATTTTAAAAACTTACACTGCTCCAGGTATTGGACATCAGCACACGAATTCACTTCAGACTCTCTCCTAGAGGAGTGGACACAAAGTGATTGCCTTAACACATTCTTACTCTGTCCTTGTTCTTTCCTCCCATTGGAGTAGAGTATAAAGCAGCTTCAAATATTACCCTGTCCCTTTTCCAGAGTCCCAAAGGCACAGGCTGAAAGTAGAGGCTGCTCTGAAGTCACCCAGCATGGTTCCTGTCAGACACTGAAGCATTTGGACCAGCCAGGCAGTGCTGAAACCCCAAGGAGATTCCAAGGGCAGAGGCTAACCAGGGAGCCCGTGAAAGAGAATCCATTCTATTCTTTATTTCATTTCTAATTTTAAGTAATGCAAATCAAAGGACAAAACCCTTTAATTTCAAATTCTGATCTATGCATAAAACTCATTTAACTCACGGTTTAGTACAAACTATAAAACTGTTAACACTGAAATTTAACAGAAACCTATTAAAATCTCTTAGAAAAATTAAAGAAAGAAACAACAGCCAGTCAGTTACTGCTTTGAGGTTAATACATAAAGGAAAAAAAAAAAATCACACATTTTACCAAGATTTTCAGTAAGTTTTAGCCATAATACTTATTGTAAAATTAAAAATTTCAATGTTGTATCTCTAAAGCAATTAAAATTTGCAGTGAAAATATTAAGCTGATCTTTGTGATCTAGCCAGAACAATCCTAGCTTTAAAAAAGGTGGTTGAATTTGCAAACCTTGAGAAAACCAACTGTGAACAAAACAGGCATATCATTAACTTAGCTTCAATTACGGTGAAGACAGGAAAAACGAGATGCACTTGAAAGGTTGAACTGCAGAAGGAAAATGGGGGGAGGACACACGTTCAGAGCTAGAGCTTTAAAAAAATATCATGTCATTCTTATTAAAAACATTAAAGGAATCAAAGCCAGACAGTACTGAAGTTTTACACAAGCCTCTTTTGTATTTCAATGTTGTTTATTGAGGAGTGAATGAGAGACTATTGTCAGACATGCCAACGATACTTCACATTCAAGGGCCAGAAGCGGAAAGCCTCCAAGCTGAGTCACTGTGTAAGCCTTCTGGGAAAAAGAATCGAAAGTGACATCAAGTGACAGCTTCATACTTCTTGCTTGTCATCAGTTGTTTTCAACTGGCTGGCTGGGTAAAAGCTTTCTATTCCACACAAGGACTCACACTCCAATTTATAGAATGAACACTAGGTTGTATAGCAGTTTGTCTTAACACACATCTATGTGGATTAACTGACCTTAAAGCTGCTTTCCTTAAATTTCCTTAGGTCTACTGAGAAAAATTAATTTTGTTTCCGTTACCCTTCACATGGGCGTGACACACCAATAGAAAAATACTCTGCGTGCTACCGTGGGGCTTACGGGAACTTCCTCCAGGGTTGGCTAGAAATGCCAGGCAATCCACTCTGCACATGGCTGCCTTCCCTTGCAGCTCTCCACAAGAACGGCCTACACACAACACTACTGCTCTCTCTTGCTCAAAAACAAAACAAAGAAACCTAAACAAAAGGGCAAACGTTTATTTGGAGTTAGTTTTCTGGCAGGTGGTATTAAGGCCCTTCAGGCAGAGTTAAGGAGTTCCTGTATGGCTGCCTGCTGCTCAGGACTGAGTTGTGCTATGCATTCAGTCCACAATCCTCCAGAAGTCTAGAGAGAGAGAAAGAAAAAAAAATAAGAACACATATTTAGACCCAGTGAAGTGATCACTAGGAAGGATTTTAGTAACCAGCCGGCACAGATCGAAATAATGCCCAAACAACCCTCTCTCTAGTTAGCTAAATTTGAAGATTAGTGTAAAAGAAAGAAATCTGTTTATCTCTTCAAAGTTAATTTCATTTAAAAGGACATTTTCTTTGATTTTAAATTGATAAAGCTACCTCAGCAGCAGACAATTCAGAAGGTAAAAATCATTTACAATTTTTTGACAACTAACTAAATTGCATCTTTTTCCCCTTCAAGATATGCAGAAAAATTATAACAAGCATATGCTAAGTACCAACTGGAGGGCTTAAAATGTCTCAAGTTTAAGTTGAAGATTTTACTTCTAATGAACAGTGAGAACATATGGGCAGTAACCCATTTGAGGCATGATGAGATATAGAAAGGTTTCACTTCCCCTTTACCAGTTCAACCAAACCAGCTTACCTGTACTTGGCGAACTACGTTAGCCAGGCGCTTGGCACATGGGTCTTCATGTTTAATGGCCTCATGCATTTCTCCTTCCGCAATTATAATGAATATTTTAGGCAGATTGGTATTGTTTGGGCCAAGAACAATTGGGTGATTACTGAGAAAAGCAAAAACACTTATAAAGATAAGTGAATTTTGTAAGAGATCACTGACACTTGACTTTGTTCTGTACATACCATTATGTGTTGAGTAGATGCAAGTGCTTTTTAAATGCAGTAGGAAGAAAGTCAGCTAGTTTCACTTACAGTCCTGCAGTTTCTTCCTATATAACTCAGGAAAAACCAACTAACCAACCAGCCAACCAACCACACAATCTGGCTCATCTCTCAGGATTTTTCTTAGGGCCAAACAACAGAGGCCCCCATCTCAAGATGAAAAAATAGAGGGCTAGAGATGAAACTTGGTTATAGTGCAGGTAGCCTGGCATGTGTGAGGCCACTGAGTTTGGTCACTAGTGCTACAAAAGAAAAGAGAACAAGAATAGGGGCTGGAGAGATGGCTCAGCTGCTCTTGCAGAGGACCTAGGTTTGATTCCCAGAACTCATGTGGTGGCTAACAACCATCCTTAACTCAAGTTCCAGGGGAATCCACCACCCTCTTCTGACCTCCACAGGCATTACATGACATGTAAGGCAATAGACTCATATACATAAAATAACAATAAATAAAACATTTTTAAAAATCCAAAGAAACAAACAAGCCCTAAGACATCATTAAGAATAAAGTTTATCACAGATTAAACAGTTTCAATAGAATCATTTGTGCATTTCAAGAGTAAACGGGGAAATAAATTCCAGGCAGGTTAAATGGAAAGAAATATAGTGAATTTGAGTTGAATTCCAGTCTTTGTCACTGACAGCAGTCACTTCCAAGGAGAAATCCAGTAACCCACTGGAGAACTGGTATTTCAGATGCAGGAGCAGGCAAGGACAGTGTAGCTTGAGGCGGATATCACATTTCTCACCAAGAACCTCAGTGGACACACACACACACACACACCACACGCACGCACGCAGGAGCAGGCAAGGACAGTGTAGCTTGAGGCAGATATCACATTTCTCACTAGGAACCTCAGTGGGCCCCTCCTCCCCCACAGGTTACATGAATCTAAATTCTAATAGGCATGAAGCAGTATGTCTATTGGTCTACTGCTACAAACTCCAGGAATTTTACTGGATTCATGAATAAACTAAAAATAGTAACGAACAGTTGACAGAGCCAAGATCAAACTAAGAGGGGATGTGGCTTCAGAAAAAGACGCCAAAGAATCACTTTGATTGGGTAAAGCCACTATGTTGTTGCAGCTCTTAGAGATACCCGTGGACACAAAACTGATTAACAGGACGGTGCAGGGCTGTCACAATGTCTGTCTGGTGTATGACCTTAGCCCATGGATTCCTTTTCCTCTTGTTTTTTTTTTTTGTTTCTTTCCTTTTTTTTTTTGAGAAAGGATATTTCTATGTAGCCCAGACTGGCCGTGAATTTGCAGCGATCTTCCTTCCTCACCTCCTTCCCCACCCAGTGCTAGGATTACCATACCTGGCTACCACCGATGCTTGAATCCAGAGAAAAACACCAGGTTTGTAAGTCCAACGATATAATTCAATCTATTCTATAGATTATTCTATAGCAAATGTGGTGGGCAATAGAACACTTGATGGCTTCCTATGAACATCATTTTCTAAAGTGATCTGCTGAATTTAATCCCACAAAAAACAACTTGAAGTTAGATCTTACTATAGAGGTGCTGAACTGTGATACGGCCTCGTAACATGACTTACAGACAACACTCTTAAATCTACACAACAGGGGGCTGGCCAGAGGTGGTTTAACTTCACACTTTCCATGAAGAGGAGGGAAATAAGGCCAGCCTGTGCTTCCTTACCTTTCAATCAGGTCACACAAATAATTGAAGGTCTGAACAGCTTCTTCTTTATCTTCATGTAGTGGAAGCCAAGACAACCAGTGTGGTAAGACCTCTTCAACATTTACACAGTCAGGCTTGAACTTCATAATTTTACCTACTGCTGAGATGCAGTTCTCAGTAGCATTGACGTTTTCTTTGGTCTTTGAGTCTCCAGACTGAATAACTCTTACAAGCAGCGGGAGTGCTTCTAAAATAAACATTTAAAAAAAAAGGTCAGCCAAACCTTATATTTTGATGCAAGTAAACATATGTATGTTTACCTTTGGTTGTTATTGGTTGCTAAGTGTAAGGAAAGTTTACATTCTTAGCTTCAGTGCCACAAACTGTAATAATAGGAACACTAAGCATGGGGACAGGAGCACTTATACTATGAAGGGAAGACCCACAGAGCAGCAGCCTTCACATTTACATTGCATACCACCTGAAGGCGTTAAGCTGCAAGCTTCTGTTTCCCACTTCTGTAAGTTCTTTAAGTCCCAGGATAAGTCTGGGGCAATATAGATTCCACTCAGATTTCATTGAGAGTAGGCATGACACAATTTTAATGCTATAGATGGTGTGGGGAATAAAAAAGCAACGAAGTTAAAAAAAATACGGGAGCTGGAGAAATGGCTCAACTTAAGAGCACTTGTTACTCTCTCACAACCACCTGTAACTTCAGTACCAGGGGATCTGACATCCGCTTCTGGTCTCTGTAGGCACGTGCACGCACGCACACGCGCGCGCGCGCACACACACACACAACACACGTCCTTAAAAAGAAGAAAAAAAAATTTAAAAACTGTGCAAGGGTCCAGCCGAGAGATTACAGTAGGCACGTGCACGCACGCACACGCACACGCGCGCGCGCGCGCACACACACACACAACACACGTCCTTAAAAAGAAGAAAAACTTGCCTGACTTCTGGGCTGTTGTCACACACATACTGGAGCATTGGCCTTAAGAAATATTCTGCATACTTAAATGAAGCTGGACTACAGTGTTCTATGACATCATCAAAGATGCACAATCCCCATTGTCTGTCTGGCCACGGTCTATGTGGACACTACAAAAGAGATTCCCTTTTAAGTACTGAATACTGGTACAAGCATAATAACCACTTCTCATAAGTAACACCACTTGAACAAATACATTTAATGAAATTTACATTAAAGGACTTGTGTGATTTGTTACAGAGGCCCCAAATCTGGCACTACTACATACCAGGAAGACCCAATACGGCAGCAATGTACATAAATTTACTTGTGAAAAGGACAAAAACATGCATCAAAAAAGCTACCATGAACTGGGCATGGTGGTGCATGCCTTTAATCCCAGCACTCTGAAGGCAGATGGAACTCTTTGAGATCAAGGCCAGCCTGACTTCCATAGCGAGTTCCAGGCCAAGTTGGGGCTAAGGGAGACCCCATCTCAATAAACACAAAAAGCTGCAATGAAAACTCATTATACTTTGCATGCTAACTTTAAAAACTTTAAAATTAGAACAAAAATGGGTAGGGGGACAAAGGTAGCCAGGTATGTGTCTGTAATCCCTGCTACCCAGGAGGCTAGGGCAGAGGGATCACTTGAGCCAAGGAGCTGGAGGCTAGCCTGTACAACATAGTGATTGTCCCCTACTGTAACCAACACTCTCTCCAAATGAAGACAGTAATAATGCTATGTTATAAAACACAAATACAAGTAGCCGGGAAATGACAATTTCAGAGCACTGCTTCTACATGTTGTATGCATCTACCATCTTTTTCAACACCCCTCCAACTGGGCTTGGTGGTAAGGGCTACAGTAAATAAAACAAGCAACAGCATACCTCCCAAAACATCTAACCTGTCAATTTACAGGAGACTATGTATGTGTGGGGGCAGAGGTTGAAGAAATCTACTTTTGTTTATGTTGTGAATTTTAAACTAAAATGTAATGCCTATGAAATATTTAAAATTCAAATAGCTGAGTTCATTGTCCATAATGATTAAGACTGCCCATAGTAAGGATCATAAATGGATTTGCTTGGGGCGGGGGGTCATTCTGATTCTATTTATTAATTTAATAGGGCACAGATAAGCTGAAACAGAAAACATACAGGGCAAAAGCCTATGCTCGATAATTAAAAACACACAGTGAAAATTATTTCTGAGGTCCATTCTAACTTTCAAGTGCAAGATTTTCTATGTTGTAATAAGAGAATTCCAGGTTAACTATTCAAAATAACTTTTAGATGGCTAACACTTACAATCAGGTTGACAATTAGTGGAAGCAGCTGTTCAAACCATGGTAACACCTTTTCCTTGTAGCTACTGAATATTGAGTGTAAAATATCTGACACTTTAGTCAGAATATAAACATCATTATCATCCTAAAAAAGAAACAAAACACACATGGATTTAAAAAGCATTCTCTCTTAGTAGTGATGTTTATAAAATCTCCCCAAAATACAGGAAATGAAAATGTTCTTTTCTGTCTTAAGACCCACCAAGAACTGGAGACTGAGGCAACCCTAATCTCACCAATGGAAAAAGAAGTGTGGCAATGCAACATTTGTGGTGATTTGTTTTCAGCACAGTGCTTTCCTATTTTGGAGTGGTATGGAGGGGAGTCTGGAGTCTAGCGGCAATGCAGGCCCACAGCACTGGAGGTAGCTGCACATGTGGGCATGGCCCACCAGAGAGGACACATGTCAGATACTGGCTCTACCCATGGTCTAAGGGTGTGATGGCACCATATCTGGACGAGATGAGTTAACAAGGGAGTTGGAGGTTATTCATATTTAAAACGGTCAAATAGTCATTAAAGACAAATGGTCGTTATGAACAACATCAGGCAACTTATGGTATGTGTGGGGATTGCAAAAAAAATGCACACACAACCCCCAGTTAATTAAATGGCTTACGCTATATATAATAAGTGCCAGATTCTTTTGCCCAAGATAACTGATAATTATATCAGAACAAGGAAGATTGGAAACTGAAGCATTTAGAAATATCTGAGGCCAATGGTCACGTAAAGGAAGCTCTAAAGGGAGCAATTACCTCATCTTGTAGCGATTCCTCAACCTGCTCATCATAGTCTTCATCTTGTCTTTTAACTAAAACACACCCAAATAAATGTTTTTGATTGATCACCAAAAAGGTCAAAGATTCTGTTCAGAAATAAAAAGCACCGAAGACTTACCTTGCCGCAATTCTTGATTTTTAAAATGCTCTTCAAGTTTTGCTTTCAGTATACCCCCCAGCTCTTCAAAGTGCTCATTATTAAGGCATCCATCTCCCATGACCTCAATGCACTGTGTGTAAAGAAAACACGGAAGATTTAAGGGTTTTTAAGTGTCAAGAGTTAAACTCCATTAATAATCGTATATATACAGGAGCCTGAGAGAATGATCACAATTCAACATTCTGGAAGACTAACAAATGGGTAGACAAATACACACACACAACACACACACATTTTTAGTCAGAAACAATACTTTTATTTTGAACCTATCTTCCACAATAGGTTAAAGACTCGAAGATGGAAGCATATAAAGAACACCAGAGAAAAGGGTAAAGTGCTCTGGAAAAGCTTGAAGGTGGAGGGAACACTGTAGGCAAGGCACAGAAGCAAGTTTTTTTGGAAACAAGAAATTCTGAACTGAAGAGTGTGAGGAGGACACACACGACCCTGAAATCAAGTCTGAGCAAGGTACAGAGCTGTGTGCTGGTGATGTACCAGGGGAGGAGAAAGGCTATTCTGAACAAGGCTTTTTTCCTTCCTTTTTAGGGAGCTATCGAGGGGAAAATATTCACCTTTGCAAAAGAATGCATTATTTCTGAGAGGACATCTGAATCTGGTTCTGTGCCAATGGCCTTGATGAGAGCGTCACACATGAAGTGCCACATCTGTGTAAGGTACTCGGGACCCCGGACTCGTGCACACTCCAGGAGAAGAGGCATGGACTCTGCCGCCGCCACTCGAACACGTGTCATTGTTAAGGAAATGCAATCACTAAGCATCCCATCCCACTGGAGAGCTGAGGCCAGTTCTGTTCACCTAGACAAGAGCTGGGTTAAATATAAAGTGAGTGTAAAAACAGCAGTCTTCGCCAGGCATGGTGGCACACATCTTTAATCCCAGCACTTGGGAGGCAGAGGCAGGTGGATCTTTCTGAGTTCGAGGCCAGCCTGGTCTACCATAGTGAGTTCCAGGACAGCTGGGGCTACAAGGAGACCATGTCTCAAAAAGAGAGAGAAAAAAAAAAAAAAAAAGAAAAGCAATCTTCATGACTTGTCCCCTACAGCACAGCAGAATGAGCCCAGTGACAGAGGGCCCCTTATTGCTCTGGTTTGTAGTAAGTGCAATGGAAGCGACAACTTTCCTAAGAAAAGTAAGGACTATTACACAGGATTTGCTGGTTTCCAAAGAAGACTAAATTGCCTTTCGCTATCTAATACCATTTATAAAATAAATGGCCTTGATGAATTCCTCTTACAAGTAATTTTACTTTTTCCTCAGGCATTGTGGGGAGTGTAAAGAACACTAATAGGATACTGTATGTGGAGTCACAACCAAGGGGCAAGAGAGTAACCGTGAGGAGGCTTTCAGGTTGTCCTCATTTATCCACCTATGAAACTGTATGCATATCTCTACATATTAATTATGCCAGTCACAAACTTGAGGCTGGAAACATTAATGTGGATAGTTACCATGATATTTCTCCCAGAGGTGCTATCCACATCTGCAATGTAGAACTCTCTCACAGAAACTAAACCACTGGAGAGATGGCTCAGTGGTTAAGAGCACTGGCTGCTCTTGCAGAGGACCCTGGTTCAGTCCCCAGCACCCACATGGCGGCTAACAACTATCTGTAATTCTTGTCCCAGGGGATCTGATGCCCTCTTCTGACCTCTGCAGACATTGCACAACATGGGTACACTTATATGCAGGCAATGCATTCACACATATAAAATGAAAATTTTTTAACAAACAGAGCTATTAGTGGGCCTCTAAACATTGTGAACATTTGCTCACAAATGATCAGTGCTTATAATTCTTAGGGCGATAGAAAGCTGACCAGAACAGACTTTTTCTTCCAATTCAGTACAAACAGTAACAGTGGTGCAATACCTTGGACCAACACAAAACCCAATGGAAGAAGCTACAGTTTTACTAAATCTAGACATATTCTACCAAAGTGTTGAAGGATATCATCGTGGAAATAAAACTTCAGTAGAGGCACCATCAGTTTGACAACCTGTTCGGTGTATTCCACAAAGCCTTCCTTTAATTCCTTAGCATAGCAAACCTGAAACAAAAGACAAGATCCATGTTACGGCTTTTTTCCCCCAATCAGTGCAAGGATTGAATCTGGGCTTTGTGAATCCCAGGGGAAGTGCTCTACTACTGAGCTCACCCCTACTGCCTTTCTTAAAGGAGACTATGATTATACACAAATATATAATGACCACTAATATTTTGAATCTCTGACTATGTCTACTTTTTTTTTTTTTTTGGTCTTTTTGATGCAGGGTCTCCCTGTAGCCCCAGCTGGCCTGGAACTCAGAGACCTGCCTGCCTCTGCCTCCCAAGTGCTGGGATTAAAGGTGTGTGCCACCACACCTGGCTAACCATGCATACTTTTTACACAACTAAAATCACACACTTTACTTTAACTTTACCTTTACTTTTAATACCATAAGCACATTTCTGTCCTTTTATTCAAAAGATATTCTTGCCACCCACTATAGAGTCAGCATAAACAGACAAAAGGCCTTCACTCACAAAACTTATACTCCAAACCTTCTGTAAATTATATATAACATGGGCTGGTGAAACAGCTCAAGATAAAAACGCTTGCTTTGCAGGCCTGATGACATGACTCTGATCCCTAATCCCACAGTAGGAGAGAACCAACTCCCAAAAGTTGTCTTCTGATCTCCATATGTGTACTGTGGTAAGCATGTTAGTGCTGCACCCACACATATACATCTTTAAACAGGCTGCTCACTATTTTTGCAATTAACACCTGAGATATTGCAAAGTTTTATTAAGTAAAAAGTACAAAGATTGGGTCAAAAGGTGACTCACTTCTTTAAAGGACTATAGTTCTAGCTTTTCCAAAAAAAATCTGTGTAGCAGTTACTTTTTAAATGCAGTCTTATAAAATATTAAGTTATCATGAGGATACAAAATGGAGTAAAAATTATAATCTCATACCAGCATCTGGCAAGCAGTTGACTTCTCTTCCAGCCCTGCAGTTTTAATACCAAAACTTTGCTGATCTCCAAGGTTCACAAATTCCCAACCGTCATCATCACTCATATTCTCCATGTCTTGGGCTATAGGAAAGAAAACAAATGTGAAGAAAACAGCAGACAGTAAAGCTGCCACTGATGTGTTCTGGCAGTCACTTACTATCCAAAAGGGCTACTTCTGGTTTGATTGAAGCAGTCTTCATTAATGGCCCCATAACCACTGGAAGGTATTGCTGAAATTCTTTTCCAAGAATTTTGCACATTCTGGCCCATGCTGAGATCATGTAAGAGATCTGAGAAAAAAAATGTAAAACAGGCTTTAAGGCAATGAGTAAGAAAGATATAGTAAGGCCCTTTTTCTAAACTGAAGAAACAATGGTTCAGAGATATGGTCACACATTTCCTCATGTCACAAAGTGTTCTTAATCAATACTCAAGTCCCAGTGTATTCTACACTGGGACAGAGATAGCAGGTGAGGCTGCCTTACTTTTTTCCCTCATGAAGTATTACAATTTTCTCTCTTAGCCATCTGTACCACTTAATTAAAAAACAAAGGCCAACTTTTAGGCACTTATTTTTTGGAGGAAGAAATCTATGATTTTGTAACCTGCCTGGCGTACCATTCACTAAACACTATTAAAATCCAAGAAAAATGATCCCCCATCTTCTACTTCCCCACTAATTAAAAACAAATTATTTATTATTTTTATTGTGTGTGTGTGTATTGTCTGCACGTATGTAATTGTACCTGTGCCTAGCAATGTCTGCAGAGATCAGAAGAAGACATCAGATCCCCTGGAACTGGAGTTATGGATGGTTGTTAGCCATCATGTGTGGGTGCTGGAAACCAAACCCTAGGTCCTCTGCAAGAACAGCCAGTGCTCTTAACTGCTGAGCCCTTTCTCTAGTGTCTCACTGTAAGTTTTTAAATTGGCATATAAAGAGATTCCATTGTGGTATTTTCATACACTATTTTGGTTGATCCTCCCTCTACTCTACCGAGTAGTCCCTTTTCCACTTTTCATGTCACATGTACTCTATTTCCCTTCTCCTTCCGCCCTTTCTCCCTTTCATGGTCCCCTTTCTAGTGTCAAAACCTATCTCCATACTCATACCTATACAGATACACACATATAGAAAATCCACACGAAAGAAAAACTGTTGGCATTTGTCTTTCTGAGTTTGGGTTACTTCATTTAATATGGTAATTTCCAGATTCACCCATTCCCAAATTTCATTTTTTTCCTCACAGCTGAGTAAAATTCTGTTTTGTACATGCACCATTTCATTAACTACTCATCTGTTGACAGATATTTAGGCTGGTTTTAGTTCCTTGCTATTGTGAACTGAGCTGTGATAAACATGGGTATATAAATTACCAGTGGTAGGATAGAGAGCTCTTTGGGTACATGCCCAGGAGTAATACAGCCAGGTCATACATATGACAGTTTTATTTTTAATCTTTTGAGAAACCTCCACACTGATTTCCATAGTGGTTACACCACAACTTCTAAATTAATAGAATTCTAGTATTTGTTTTCTTGATGATAGCTATTCTGACTGGGGTGAAATGGAATCTCAAAATTTTCGTTTTCATTTTAAAGAAAGCACATTCATTCAACAAATATTTCATGGCTATTTTCCACTGTGTGTCAAGCACGCTGCATTTGCCAATGTGAAACAATGGTGAACAGCTGTAGTCCTTTCTACCTCACAGCTTAATAGTCCCCTTAACTTCCCTACTCTTAACTGTTTGCAAAGTATATCAGACTTAACTGTCTACACAAAGATAAATGGCTATCTCCATACTACCATGTTACAAAGACAGGAAATTAAAAAACCTGCTGCCTTTGCATAATGGCACCTTCCTATATAAGGTATAAGAACTAAACACAGGGGCTGGAGACATGGCCCCATAGTTAAGAGCACTGGCTGTTCTCATAGAGGATATAGGTTCTGTTCTCAGCACCCACATGGCAGCTAACAACTATCTCTAACTCCAGTTCCAGAGGAATTCGATGCTCTCTTCTGACCTCCAAGGGCATTGTACGACACAGGTGCACTTAAATACACGCAGGCAATACACTCATACACATAAAATAATGTAAATATTTTAAAAAATAAATACAGTATGCTTGCAATAAGGTTGAAATTTAATTCGGTAATTATTTACTGCCTTGTCACACATTAAGACTATGATAAATATCTGTGATGTGCCTACTATGGTATCGTAAATACCACCAAGAATGAATAAATCAAAAGTCTTACAAAGGATTGATTACTTCTCAGCCTTTTGGCTAAGATCATGTGTAGGATCTGTTCTTGTCAGTTCAATTTGACACATCCTTTATCCGAGGACAACATAGTGAACAGATATTGGAGCTAGGGGATGGAATAGGAGCTTGATCCGTTCACTGCACTGATCAACCTCTTATTGCAGAAAAAAAAAAATCTTACAGAGAAGAACAGCAGGAATCAACCAGGCATGTGTTGTGATATTCCTTCTAAGTTAATGAAACCTATCGGGGACCTAGGGGGTGAGAGGAAGTTGGGGAGGAAGAGCTTACTACATGTACTGCAGGGCCTTGAGATTGTTAGGTTTCAGTGCTTCTTCAGAAGTGGTTGATGAATGAACCTTGAGAAAGGTCTGTAAGCCACAAGTACACAGAGGAAATCTGCAGCCAGGACCGTATGTGACACTGCTCCAGGAAAGCAAGAAGAGCCTAGGACAAAGCCCTCAAACGCAATGAAACTCCAGACACAGAGAAAGCAGAAGCAGTTTAGAGAAGAAGCCCAGTGAAAAATGCCTTTGAAACCAGAGGTTAAGAGGATTTCTAGAAAACTGCTACTCATTTCTAAATTAAGAACATTTAATCTTGGGCTGTATACAACTCCAAAATGGATAAAGGCAAATGCAGTAAGGCTGCTTACCTGAGGATCGTCATCTTCCATATCATTGAAGTCTGTCTGGGTCTTCAATAATAGCTGCATCACATCTGATGCATCCTGCATGAACTAAAGGAGAATACGTGGGAAAAACTCATCAATGTTATTAGTGCATTATTGCTTCGGGACGCATTTATTCTTGCTACCTAACTTTGCTTCTTATATAATAACAAAACTTTGGCGAAATAACAAGAAAAACCCCAGACAACAAAAAACAAACCTGTCATCAGAGCTGATGAGATGGCTCAGTGAGTAAACGTGCTTGCAGCCAAGTCTGACAAACCTGAGTTTAATCCCTGGAGCCCACAGGATGGAAGGTTCTTGGATCCCTACATGTGTGCTACTATGCACATAATAAACAAATAATGTTAGTAATTTTTTTAAAAAAGAGGTATGGCCGGGCGTGGTGGTGCACGCCTTTAATCCAGCACTTGGGAGGCAGAGGCAGGCGATCTTTGTGAGTTCGAGGCCAGCCTGGTCTACATAGTGAGTTCCATGACAGCTGGGGCTACAAGGAGACCCTGTCTCAAAAAGTTAAAAAAAGAAAGAAAAAGGCATGACCCTTAAAAATTTATTTTTATGTATTTATGTAAGTATGTATGTTTATGTGCTTTTGAGAGTTTATGGGTGCTTTGTGTGTACAAGAGCCCAGAAGACATCTGATCCTTTGGAACTGGAGTTACAGTTAGTGGTGAACTGACACATAGGTGCTACCCAAACCCAGATCCGCTGCAAGAGCGGTAAATGCTCTTAGCTGCTGAGCCATCTCTCTAGTACTGTAAACAATTAAAAAACAACAACTGTATCTTTGATGTGGATTGTACCGTAACAGATAAAACTATCACACAGAAGTATTCTCATCTATATTGGAACATAATGCTCTTTCTAGGAAATACATATTTTCCACTGAAGGTCAAACAGAAGATATTTCTTTCTTTCGAGACAGGGTCTCCCTACAGCTCTAAAGCTGACTTGGAACTTGCTATGTACACCAGGCTGGCCTCAATCTTAGAGATCCACCTGCCTCTGCATCTGCCTCCTGAGTGCTGGGATTAAATGAGTATGCTACTGTGTCCAGCTGGAAGCAAGATATTTCTAATAGCATCAAACTTGACACACTTCTTTAAATACAGCTTTTGTATTTCAAGAAATAAAATTTAATTCAAATCTGGAGAGAAAATTGCAGATTGCACCTTAGAATTCACTGCAGATTTTGTATGATTTGTAAAATTTTGTATGATTTCAAATGGACTCAAGTTCTGGAAATCACCATTGTATAATCTATCAGATGGTGCTTCAAAGCTAGTTTAAAGACAGATATGTAGAATACAGAACATGCAAATGTTTGATTAGTCTCTCTCAGGGCCCTATACAAAATAATTCACAAGTTAAGTTCATATTGACAGGCTCTGGAGAGGCAAAGACACCGATTTCATGCTAACAGTGATGAGGATCAGAACATGAAGGATCAATGAGAAGATGTTGTGGTGGTACATGCTTATAATCCCAGCATTCAGGAGTTTGAGGTGGGAGGCTTGCCATAAGCTTGAGGCCAAGCAGGGCTACACAGAGACCCCACTAAAAAAAAAAAAAATGTCAGCAAGTTTGGATCAGCATGCACTACTCAGATGCTGGTTCAGAAGAAAAACCCTAGCCAATGATCTCTGCCAATTGTTTTTTGAAAAGTTATACAAACATAACTTTCCTGCTTAGGATATGTGATTTTTGGATTACCAAGCAATTGGCATGTTTCCAAGCATGTTTAAATGGAAGAAACCATAGAGATACTGAATTCTACATTACTTTATTGAGAGAGATTAGAAGGTGGAAGGGAAAGAGGGCTGTTATTAAAGAGTATAAATAAGACAGGAAGAATCCTTAATAATAACGATGAAAACTATGTAGGCAACTATTTATTTATATAAAAAACAGAATGCAAACAGGTGAAGAAAAAAATCCAGCATTCAGGAAACTGTTATCCAGAAACAAAAACATTTTTCTGCAGCCTCAATTGTGGGGACCTAAAAGCCCCACCTTGCATAGGTCCGAAAGGAAGTTACTGGGGGTGCGGCCTGGCTTGCTTTGAAAGTCTCAAGAATACTTCCGCACTGCTGAGGAGTGCATGATCAGTGTGTGACCATCCTTAAGATACACCCTGGGGGAGGGGGGGTTCCAGGTGCCTTTATAAGCTTTGTAACACCTGCAATAATTGAGTCCCAGCTTGACTAGGCTCCCCATTGTGTCTGAGTGTCCCCGGGTAATGGGGGTGGCGTGGGCTGGCGAACGGCGTGCTTACTCATCCCCAATCCTCACCTCGCCGGGGGTCGCGGGTTCGAACCCCCGGCATCTGGCGCTCAACGTTTGAACTTCTGATCCTCCTGCTTCCCCCTAAGGAATGCTGGGATTATAGGTGTGTCCACTACACGCGGTATTTTCAGAGCTGGGAGTTGAATCCAGGGCATCATTCATGCTAGTCTAGCATTCTAGAAACTGAGGTACCTTCCCAGCTTCCAGATCAGATATTTAAATAAAGATCCACCTATAACAACAGCAAAAACAAGGAGGAGAGGAAGAGAAGACCACAGGTATCTAGAAAGAAAGGTGATGTCACTTGTCTACTACAAAAGCACTGCATCCGGTGCTCCATGCGTATTTCAAGACTGATAAAATCAAAATAAACAAAGGCCTGACATGGCATGCTTGAACTGGAGCCAAGAATTGTGAATTTACCAGGTGTGGCCATTTTGCTTTCACTCTATGGGAGTATATAGCCTTAGGGAATTGTTGTAATCTGTCATTATTAGCATCTTATAGGAGATAGAAGTATAGAACTGTATAGAAATGTCGTCAAAGACTATGAGTGAAATGACAGATGACACCTAAAATACAGTTGAGTAGTCAATGGCATTTAATAGAAATACATAGAAAACAGAGGGCAAATTAAGATGACCTGAAAGGTGGTAACACAGAATTCTAAGGAAGTTAAAAAAAAGAGCAACAGTGTAGAGTAATCAGAGTTGCTTCCCTAACTTGGGAGAATAGAAAAGAAGCATTCTGGTAAACTGTATTCAGGTTTAGGAAGGCTGTGAGGCTAATAGAGAAAACTAGGTCAATAATGAGTGTGTGGTAATAAAGTGGCCACCTTACAGGAGCACAGGGCACGTGGAAGGCAAGAAATATGACTTGTTCGTTTTTTAGTTCCACCTTGACTAGCCCTATATATATTAAATGGTGTGCCCTCTTTAAGGAGGAATGCAGGATACAGGCTGAGAGGAATGCAAGTGCCAATCTACTGGTCCCCATTACTTTTGGGATGTTCACTGGTTCAAGTGATTGTTACGCCACAGGGGAGACACAGTCAGGCATTCCAGCCCCATATACAGAACAGGTCAGGGTCATAGGATTAAATGCTTGGAGAAAATTGGATGAGGGGCCTACTGAATCCCCCTTTGCAGGAATTAATCAAAAGCCCAGTGAACCCCTCTACGAGTTTATAGACAGAGTGGAAAAGAGCTTAAAACGAAAATTACCCCCAGGCCCATTGAGGGAGCAATTCACTAAACTCTTGGTATGGGATGGAATGAATGGTGATCACAAGATAGCCTGTACTGGCCTTAAGGACAGGTCCAGGGAACAATGGATAATTGCCTCCAAGGAGGTGGGAACCCAGAGGGGGCAAACAAAAGCCATGGCTGCTGTCTTACAGATGCAAACAGAGGCTCTGACCCATGCCCTAACCCAGGCATTTAATTCACTTAACCTGGGATAGCAGGTAACAACAGGGCCTAGAGGAATAATAGAAGGCCCATGTTTTGCTGTGGCCAGAGTGGCCATATTAAAAGAAATTGTCCTCACTGAGAGAACTGGCCTAATCCTGGAGGTGGGGTATCAAAAAGGCCTCCATCTATGCCCTGTCCCTGGGGTCGCAAAGGGTTCCATTGGCAGAAGGATTGTAAATCCAGATTTGATACTGAAGGAACACCTTTAAACTAAGTGGAGGACAGCCTCCAGCCCCATTGACAAAAGGAGGACTTCCCCATGATTGGCTACATTTACAATGCCCTGGAGGAGGGATCGGGAGAGGAGAAAAACCTATGGTGAATTGGACAGTCTACATTTACAATGCCCTCGGGGAGGGATCGGGAGAGGAGAAAAACCTATGGCGAATTGGACAGTCCCTATTATCCCTGGTGTAAGGCCCAAGATGGACCTTGAAATAGGTGGCAGGTGGTTTCGCTGCCTAGTGGACACGGGGACTGAAAGAACCATTCTTAGAAAGGAGGAGGTCCCATCACGATGGCTCCTAGTTTCTGGGCCCCGAATCCTAGGTGTGGGAGGATACTCCCCATCAGAGGAGACTCGAGAATGGCTCACCTGGCAGGATGCAGATGGAGCTAAAGGGGAGGTGTGACCCCCGGTGGCTGCAGGGTTATCCGCCAACCTCATAGGACAAGATATTTTGGGGGATGCACAGGCCTGCATAACCACTGATAGCAAGGCCTTTTATGATGACCTTTTGGATCTTGAAGAGTCTGATAGGCTTCCTGAGTCAGCAACTCAAGGGTTGTCTCACCATATCAATTACGGGGGGACCCAAAGCAAGAGTATTGGGTTCACCCCCAATTCTAAGGGCCACTGCCCCTGGTCCCCTGGGGTGCCAGTATGGTTGGAGCAGTGGCCATTACCTTAGACAAAGCTACAGGCTTTAAATGAAATTGTGCAGGAATAATTACAGTTGGGCCACATCTGGCCTTCTGTAAGTCCATGGAACACACCTGTCTTTGTTATTAAGAAAGCCTCTGGCAAATGGAGAATGTTGCAAGATTTGTGTAAAGTCAATGCTAGAATGACCCTAGTGGGTACACCCTTAAGGGGGCTGCCTTGGATCCCTGCTATTTCCTCAGATTTATTTCTTATAGACATTAAAGATTGCTTTTTCTCTATCCCTCTACAACCCCAGGATTGTGAAAAATTTGCTTTCTCTGTACCTTCCACCAACTTTAAAACGCCTGATGAGAGGTATGAATGGACTGTTTTACCCAAAGGTATGGCCAATAGCCCAGCATTCTGTCAAAGCTATGTGAAGACCCTTTTGGGGCCTGCTCACTTGCTGCCACATGCCACTGTGTACATTTATATGGATGATATAATCTTGGGAGCTCCAAACCTCCAACAATTAGAAGAGTTATATAAGGTTACTCAGAAATGTCTATAGACAGGTAGACTCCATGTATCCACTGATAAAATACAGACTACTACTCCCTTTAAAATTCTGGGAACCATACTCTCTTTGGAAGGAGTAAGTCCTTTAAAACCACAACTGGCTGTCAAGCCCACCGTAACCCTGACAGAGCTACAAAAATTATTAGGAAAAATTAATTGGCTACGAGCCTGGATGCCTATTCCCACTGGGACTTTAAGACACTGTTTCAGTTGCTAGTAGGAAAACAGCCTTCAGAACTAATTCATCTGGCTCCTCAACACCTGGACATCTTACATGAGGTCCAG